GTTAGCGCTTACAACTGCAGCAGGTTCTTCTGCCAGCTCTGCAAAATTTAAAATATCCCCTTCTTCCCTCCAACTTTTTTTTTTTTTTTTTTTTTTTTTTTGGAGAATTTCTGCTTATGTTTGAAGCATTAAGTTGTTACCTCCCCTGGGGAGCTGTCCTACATTCCCTTAGTGGACATGCCTGTTGTTGCCATAGTCCTGAGGACATACTTGATATTCCATATTCCTAGTGATTAGTGAAGAATGTAGCAAGGCCACCTGCCTTCTACTACGAGTTTCTTTTTTTTTTAAAGATTTGTTTATCATGTATCATGTATACAGTGCAGGCCAGAAGAGGGCACCAGTTCCCATTACAGATGGCTGTGAGCCACCATGTGGCTGCTGGGAATTGAACTCAGGTCCTCTGTAAGAACAGTCAGTGCTCCTAACCCTGAGCCATCTCTCCAGCCCCTCTTTTTTTTTTTTTAAGATTTTATTTATTTATTATGTATACAGTCTTCTGCCTGCATGCCAGCAGAGGGCACCAGATCTCATTCAAGAGAGCCACCATGTGGTTGCTGGGAGTTTCTTAAAGATAGGAACCATTTGTCTTCTTCATTGCACTGGATGATTGCCAACACAGAGTCTGGTGCATGACTGCTCCATTTCATTTGCTTAATAGTAATAGCTCTTGGCCAGGTGTGGTGGTGCAGGCCTCTAATTCCAGCATGGGAGGCAGAAGCAGGCAGATCTCTGTGAGTTCAAGGCCAGCCTGGTCTTGAACTAGTTCCAGGACAGCTAGAGCTGTTACACAGAGAAACCCTGTCTCAATAAACTAAAAATAAGTAAGTGGATAAATAAATAAATGTAGCTCTTGAGGTTTGGGGTGCAGCTCAGTGGTAGAACACTTAGCAAGCATGCACACTCTCCTGAGCTCTAGCCCCAGCACTATAATAGTAACAACAACAATAATAACTTATTTATTCAGGGTCTCTCGTGTGCATGGTACTTTATATTCAGAAACTCTAGGGCTAGAGATGTAGTTCAGCTTGCCTAGCGTGCCTGAGTACCTGGGTTCGGCCCCCAGCACTTCATAGACCAGGTATGGTAGCACATGCCTGTAGTCCTACCACTTAGGACGTAGAGGCAGGCAGTGATTCAAGATTATTCTGGCCACGTATCAAATTAAGGGCTGGCCTGGATGTATATGAGACTCGAAAAAAAGAAAAAACAGAACTCCTCTTTTAAAAATTCAATTGCTTTTAATTTTTTTTAATTTTATTTATTTTTTAATTTTTATTTAGTGTGTGTGTGTGTGTGTGTGTGTGTGTGTGTGTGCGCGTGCACGCGCGCTGGTGTCTTCAGTGAGCATTGGATCCGCTGAAGCTGGAGTTACAGGCAGTTATGGGGCTGCCTGGTGTGGGTGCTGGAATTAGGACACCACCTCTGGAAAAGCAAGAGTTCTCTTAACCACTGAGCAAAGACCATGTGTGTGCCTGATGCCTGCTGAGGTCAGAAGAGGCAGTCAGATCTCCTGGAACTGGAGTTACAGGCTGTTGTGAGCTGCCATGTACATGCTGGGAATTGAACCTGGGTCCTCTATAAGAGCAACAAGCACTGAGCCTTCTCTTCAGCACCCCTCAACAGAACTCTGTTTGTTTGTTTTTGTTTTTCGAGACAAGGTTTCTCTATGTAGCAGTCCTGGCTGTCCTGAAACTCACTCTGTAGACCAGGCAGGCCTCAAACTCACAGAGATCCATCTGCCTCTGTCTTCTGATTGCTGGGATTAAAGGTGTGAGCTACCACTGCCCTGGCAAACAGAACTCTTTTTTTTTTTTTTTTAATTATTTACTTATTTTTATTTTATGTGCATTGGTATTTTGACTGCTTGTCTGTCTGTGTGAAGGTGATAGATCCTAGGGTTACAGACAGTTTGAGCTGCCATGTGGGTGCTGGGAATTGAACCTGGATCCTCTGGGAGAGCAGTCAGTGCTCTTAACAACTGAGCCATCTCTCCAGCCCCGCGAACAGAACTCTTAAATCACAAACTAAGTTACTATATAGTTGTCGCCAGTTCAGTTTTAAAGTAAGGAAAGGTGTTAGAAGCTTAAGTAACAGTTATCGTAGTAGAAACCAACCAGAGTTTTGGACCTGAACCAGGTCTGGCCAACTTCAGAGTTCATGACCACAGACTGGGTCATGGGCTCAAGCCTTGGATGGGTGTTCATGGAATAAGCTAAGGAAGAAGCTTAGCCTCATGTCTGAGGCTAAGATCATTTGCATGGAGGCTGTGGTGGGTGTGGGTGCCCCAGCCTTGCTGAGCCCCCGCAGGTCCTATAGACACCTCATCCTATTCCATCAGAGCTGGGCTCGTAGAGCACATGAGGACGGACCGCAGGCTGCAGAGACTCCTTCAAACCCAGAGAGAGCTGATGTCCAGAGAGCTCTGGCTCTACAGTAGGCAGAGGGGCCCTGGGAGTGGGACAGGATGGGGATGGTCCAATTAACACTTCACTTTCACACTGTATCATCACACACCCTACTGTCTGCCTGCCCCGTCAGGGTTCTGTTTACTAAAAGGATTAACCAGGGGCAGCCATTGCCCTTGCTGTGGGTATCCTAGGGGAATGAAGATCTGGAGGAAGTGTGACCTTCCTTGGCTTCCTGCTCCCCATCCTGAGGGTTATGTCCCCTGCAGATCACATGAGTGTCTCCTGGGTCTCACAATATCTGTTTTCTACAGTTGGCATCAACACCTTTGACTATCTGGGCGGCATTCTGAGTTATGTTGTCATCGCAATCCCCATTTTCAGTGGGATCCATGGAGACCTGAGCCCCACAGAGCTTAGCACCCTGGTCAGCAAGGTGAGGTCCCTTCTGATGAACGCTTATGCTGTGGCCCAGAGTCTGGGGCCTGCACTAACTGCTCTCTGTCCTGACCAGAATGCCTTTGTGTGTATCTACCTCATCAACTGCTTCACCCAGCTCATTGACCTGTCTACCACATTCTCAGATGTCGCTGGTTACACGCACAGGTGAGCGGAGTGTGTGTATCGCTCAAAAATGCTGAGTGGGAAAAGCACAGAATCCCACTGAGTGTTAATGGGTGTGAGACAGGAAGGAGTTCCCCTTCACCTGGCATCTAGACCCTGCCTTAGTTCTTACTTCTCGCCCAGGATTGGAGAGCTTCAGGAGGCCCTGCTGGACATGTCCCGAAAATCACAAGACTGTGAGAGCCTAGGCGAGAGTGAGTGGGATTTGAGCAAGTGAGTACCAAGCTATACTGTGGTTGGAAGAGTACAATAATCACCAGCTGGTTTTAACTTGGAGCCCCCTCCCAGCTAGGTAGCAGAGTAATAAGGAGTGGGTGGAAGCAAGCTCCATGTTCTAACAAGTATGCACTGTTGGCTGGCACCTTTGTTCTGGCACCCATTGGATAGTTTTACACCATTCTCCAGCCAGGGCAAGCAGATGCACACACCTTCTGCCTGGCACCACAACAAAACAAAAAGCCAAGCGTGGTGGCTTACACTATTAATCCCAGTACTTAGGAGGCCAAGGCAGAAGGATTGTTTTGAGTTTAAGGCTACCCTGAACTACATGATGAGATCCTCCCTAAATGAAATAAATATTTTAATTTACAATAAAAAATTTTTTGGCGGGGGTGGGGTGGGGGGGGAGGGTTCAAGGCAGGGTTTCTCTGTGGCTTTCCAGCTTCTCTGGAAGCTGTTCTGGAACTAGCTCTTGTAGACCAGGCTGGTCTCAAACTCAGAGATCCACCTGCCTCTGCCTCCTGAGTGCCAGGATTAAAGCTGTGCACCACCACCACCCGGCCTATCAGTAAAAATTATATTAAATAAAACAGAAAGAAAAGAAGAGGGGTTGAGGAGATGGCTCAGTGGGTAAAGTGCTTGAGGATCTAAGTTCAAGTCCCTAGCAACCACACAGAAGCCAGGTGTGGCAGTGTGTGCCTATAATAAATACTAGTGCAGGATGGTAGGCACAGGCAGATATCAAGGGTTTGATACCTGGTCAGCCTTGGCAAACAGTGAGCTCCAGGTTTAGTGAGAGACCCTTTCTCAATGAAGGAACACATATGACATGGCCTCTGATATCGCGTGTGTATCCACACATGTGCACGCTTGCATGCACCACACAGGACAAAAATAATGTTTTGGTTTTTTTTTAAAGAATAAAAGTCTGAATGATCCCCTCTTTATGTCTTCTTCCTGCTGAGCCCACCACTGTCCCTTTCCTAGGGTGTCCCTTGTTTCCATGTGTCCCTCAGACCCTGAGATGTCTTTATTCATATGTCTCTGGGGCCTGAAATGTTTCTGGCTTCCCTGTTTCATCTTGTGGAAAATCACTTACCCCTTTTGAGCATCATCTCCTTCATCTCTAAAAAGGATAGGAAGGAAATCTTCCTCAGAAGTAAAGATTAGATAGCATCCTTGGAAAGTGCTTGGACAATGGCCACCTAGTAAGCTTTCAAAAATAGAAATATGGTGTGACCCATGCCTTTAGTCCTAGAACTCAGGAAACAGAGAATCTCTGAGTTAGAGGCCATCTTGATCCACATAGCAAGTGCCAGGATGGCCTAGGCTACACAAACAACAACAAAAAAGACGAACAAAAACCCCACTAATATCAGAATGAAGCTGTGTAGCCCTGGGCAAGTGACTTAGCCACCTGATCTGGTTTATCTGCCAAGCAGGGCAACATTTACCTCCCATGGGTGCCAAGACTAATTAAGATCAGTCATGGAGGGTGGGGCAGGTCACAATGGGTCACATGTGAGTGCTCCAGCTCCATATCCATGCTAATTTGTAGGCTGCTGTGACATTATACCACAGACTGGCTTAGACGACAACATTTCCCACAGTTCTGCCAACTAGAAATTCAAGGTCTAGATTAGAGTGGCTGCATTTGGTTTCTCCCAAGGCATCTTCCCTGGGCTTACAGATGGTCACTTTTACATTTGTCATCACTTGGCCTCTTCGAATGTCCTATTCCCAGGGTCACACTCTTTAACAGTCTCGTTTTAATATCACCCATCCTCAAATGCTTTTACACCCTGAGGCATGGGGATTGAAAGTCAGAGTAACAAAGGTAATGCCTCTAGGCCAAGCACCTCCATTGTACCATTCACATGGCCTGTATTTCCATGTCCCTTCTCTGCCCTAGGGCCTCAGGGTGGCCAATCGCAGAGCCATCAGACACAGCTTTTCTGCTGGATCGGGTTTCCATCGTTGCCCCCTCCTCTGATAAGCCACTGATCAAGGACCTGAGCCTGAAGGTCTGTGAAGGGCAGAGTCTGCTCATCACAGGCAACACAGGCACTGGCAAGACCTCCCTGCTGCGGGTGCTGGGAGGCCTGTGGGAGAGCATGAAAGGTGAGCCGGTCCTCCCAGCCTCCCATGCAGCCTTGACCCCTGGTGGGCAGTGGGGTGGAAAGTGGGTGAGATGAGAGAAAAGGTTACCTTCTCTGCGAGGTCTCCCAATGGAGGCTTCTGTGGGCTCTGCAGGCTCAGTGCAGATGCTGGCTGATTTTGGGCCCCACGGGGTGCTGTTCCTGCCACAGAAGCCATTCTTCACTGAGGTCAGCATCCCCTCCTCCAACCTCATGCCACCCACATATCTCTAGGACTTCTAAGAGTGTGACAGGCCTCAGGCCCCAGGAGTTTAGGGAGCTCTCAGTTTCTGAGAACATGCTATGCAGTATTTGTGGACTGAGCCCAGTCACTTCCTGTGGTATCTCACTAGCTACCCCTTTGTTTGTTGGGCATTAGCTTTTGCCTTCAGGGGGCTCCAAGACTCTTGCCTCCAAACACACTTCTGAAGGCTTTTGTGTCCTCACTGGTTGCAAACATCTCTCCTGCTGAGCCCTCAGGCTGGTGTCCCATCTCCACTTAGGTGGGTGGGGTGTGAGGAGGCTGGCTTCTGTGGGTGGTTCCTAGGAATGCTAAGGTGTGAGTTAGCTGCAGCTGTTTCTCATCACCTGTCCTAGCCAGAGACATTCTTGTTTTCAGGTGATATATCCCCTGAAGGAGATCTACCCTGACTCGGGTGAGCTGTCCCTCCTCAGCTTTTATCTTCTCATCACAGTTGTCCCTGCTCTGCCTGACTGGCCTCCACTGTGCCTGGAGTGTGGAGCCAGGCTGTTGGTTTCAGGTTGGGTCTTGTCCTTTATCTGCTCACTATTTTGGGGTCCTCCTCTTGCCCTGTCTTCCTTTCCTGAGTGGAGACCCCCCTCTGGAAAAAGGAAGCGAGTATTCCTTTCATAGGCTCTTCTGCTATGAGGTTTGTCCTAGGGAGTCTTCCCCTGCTGGGATGTGTGCCCTCCACTCCAGCCAGCATGAGACCCAGTGTGCTGAGGAAGCCTCTGTTTCACAGGTTCTGCTGATGATGAGAGGATCATGAGGTTCTTGGAATTGGCAGGCCTGGTGAGTGGGACAGGGACCCTGGGGACTCTGCCCAACTGAGAGCAGTAGGCACAGGTAGTTGCTGGCCAGCAGAGCCATGGCCATTTCTGGGCCCAAGACTGGGGCAAACAGTGGGATTTCAAGTTAGCAGTGGGAACTGTGGGCAAGGTACAGACAGTAAGGAGCTGTGCTCTTGTTCTCCATAGAGATAGTGTTCTCAGTGTGTGTGTGTGTGTGTGTGTGTGTGTGTGTGTGTGTGTGATACTGTGTTAAATGTGTGTGGGTATGCTTGCCACATTGTACACGTGGAGGTCAGAGGACAGCTTTGCCAGGGATAGGTTCAGGTTGCCAGGCAGGCTGGTGTGGCAAGCACTCAACCCACTGAGCTATTTCACCTCTGTGGAAAATTTTAAAACAATAAGAAAGCTGATGGGATCCGTCTGTTTTTTCTTGTCCCCATACTCCAGCCAGCCTAGAGTACAGGTGCCAACACCCACCTTGGTTTGCCAGTGCAGAGTCCATCTCACAGACACTTGTGGTGGGAAGCTAGGATTGCAGAAAACAGGGCTGGCTTTGTGTGGACTTTATGTCCTCTCTCTGTTACAGTCCAGCTTGGTGGCAAGGACAGGCGGTCTGGACCAGCAGGTGGATTGGAACTGGTAAGGATGAGCTCTTTCAGGCAGCTCCTCCATGAAGACAGTGGGTCCCAGGAGCCCTGTAAAAAGATAGACTGCTCTTGACCCCAACAACCAGGTGATGGGCTGGCCCACCAGTTTTGGATCTGTACCTCTGGTGTAGTTTGGGCCTCACCTATCTTGTGGCTAAGTAGGAAAGCCTCTGTCCTAGAGGCAACCTCTGCAGGAAACTTCCTTCTTTCAAGGCCTTTCCTTGGCAAAAGTGACCCTGTCACTTCCTGTAAGGATAAGGACTCACTGTCATTGCTTTTCCCAGGTATGATGTCCTGTCCCCAGGGGAGATGCAAAGACTGTCCTTCGCTCGCCTCTTCTACCTGCAGCCAAAGTATGCAGGTGAGGTGCACACCGTGGGGTCCTCACAGCATGTGTTCACTTCCACCTGTGCACACCTGTACATGGCTAGGCAGCCCTGTGTCCCCTCTCTGTGATGAGCAGTGCTTGGCACTTTGGCATAGCCTGAAAATGCAAATACCCATTATAAAGCTTCCTGCCATGGCAGCCTCAGTTAGAGGGGTTGTGATTATAGCTCTTTGGGTTCTGCCATAGATGAGTGGGCATCGCCCAAGCTGGCCTGGCAGGGGTGTGTGTGTGTGACAGGTGTGGACGTCCTGGATTGTATAGTCTTAGGGAACAGTGTTATTTATCTGTAGGCAGCTGAGAGACCTGGGTGACATTCATAGGTGTGTCCTCCATCCTGGTGTGGCTCTCTTGGACAGTCATCTCCCTGAGGCAGGGACCCTCTAAGCCAGGGTAGCTGTCAGTCCTCCACACCCCAGGGTGAATATGGATGGGCTGGAGGACTGACAGAGAGGGCAAGGACACCTCTGTGACCCCTTGCCACCACATGTTGCCTTCAGTGCTTGATGAAGCCACCAGTGCCCTGACAGAGGAAGTGGAGAGTGAACTCTACCGCATTGGCCAGCAACTGGGGATGACATTTATCAGCGTGGGACATCGGCCCAGCCTTGAGAAGGTACCGTGTTACAGGGATGGCCTGAGGAAGAGGAAGAACACAAGTTGGGCCTGGCCAAGACCAGAGGCCCCTCAAATGAGGCACTGGGTGGCAGAGAGTGGGATGACCACTGTGACAGCCGTCTGACCTCAGTGGCATAATGGTCTCTTGCAGTTTCACTCCTGGGTTCTGAAACTCTGTGGAGGAGGAAGGTGGGAACTGACTAGAATCAAAATGGAATGAAGCCAAACACGGATACACCAGGATGGCCAAGCTCTGGGTGGGCCTGCAGTGCCCAAGGCAGACAACGCAGACTGATGAGGCAGCAAGGAGCCTTGGGTCCTATGTGAGAACCCCAGCAGCCTTAGACCCAAGGGTGGCATACAGGAAACACCGAGGTCTCCATAGCACTGCTTTTATGATTCTTTACCAATTACTTGAGATGACGTTTGCTGAAGAAAACCTGAGCTAAGAAGTGAAGGGTCTCAGTGAGACAGCTATGGTTAAATTTCAGTGATAAGGTTTTTTAACTTTAATTAACCACTTAAATTTTATAAGTTTTTTAAAAAAGAATAAACATTAAAAATGTGAGTTTTACTGTAGCGTGGTCTTTTTGATTGAGCCTCCAAACTTGTCCTTCATGCTTGAAGGTACACTCTCCTGCCCTACACCTGCTGGGCGTTTCCAGTCAATCTGAGTCCCTCCCCTACCACCCAAAGAAAATTGCTTTTATTTGTGTGTGAGTGCATGTATGTATGTATGTATGTATGTATGTATGTATATATTGCATGTGCACTCGTGTGTGAACATGCTGTCCTCGTCAGTTGACAACGGGAGTCCATTCTCTCCTCGTGGAAGTCCCTAGGATTGAGCCTAGATAGTCAGGTGTGCCTTCACCCACCATCCATCTCACTGGCCCAGAGTTGGACCTAGAGGTGATTAGGTCCAGAGTGCATTGCCCTCCTGAATGCTCTGAGGCCGCACAGTATAACAATATAGAGGGGCTGATTGTAAATTGCGGGTGGGGAGGTGGGGGGCAACTCCCTTTCCCTCTCTGCCTCTTTCCCTCTCTCTGCTTCTGTGTCCTTTCTCTCTCATCTCTCCTTATGTCTGTCCTCTGCCTTGTTACTTGTTACCTCAAATACTGTGACCCAACAAGAAGCCCCTCTCCAGATGTACCTCTTCTGTTTTAGTTTGCCAGTCCCTGTGTGTCTGTGTGTGTGTGTATGTGTTGTGTGTGTGTGTGTGTCTCTCTGTGTGTGTATGTGTGTGTGACTGCCTATCTCTCTCTCGCTCTCTCTCTCTCTCTCTCTCTCTCTCTCTGCCTCCTCTTGTGGATCAGGTGTATACTCTCAGCTGCAAGGTAGGATTGGTGGGATATGGGGGAAAGAGACCCTTTGAAGAATGTGGGCCTTTGAACATACTCTGTCTATGGCTGCTCAGCTCAGCACCCGTCCTAACAATTTGTTTTGTCCATCTAATTCCTGTGGCCTTGCAGCTTCTATTAGCTGAACCACTTTTTTTTTGTTTGTTTGTTTTGTTTTGTTTTTTATTTTTCAAGACAGGCTTTCTCTGTATTGCTTTAGAGACTGTCCAGGAACTCGCTCTGTAGGCCAGGCTGGCCTGGAACTCACAGATATCCACCTGCCTCTGACTCCTGAGTGCTGGGATTAAAGGCATACGCCACCAACACCCAGCGCTGAGCCACTTTTTTAAAAGTGTGTGTGTGTGTGTGTTGATAAGTGTGCCATGTATATGTGATTCCCTTGGAGGCCAGATCCCCTGGAGCTGGAGTTACAGTGGTGTGCTAGGATTTAAACTCTGGTCCCCTGAAGGAACAACCAGTTCTCTTGATCACTGAGCCATCTCTCCAGGCCACTTTTCCTGAACCACTTCTGCTTCTGAGCAGGTTCCAGCCCTGAATTTGATCCCTAGCACTGCATACAAATCTGCTCTGCTTCACCCATCACAAGTGAGGGTAAGCTTCCCTTTAACCTTAGAGGCCACCAATACTACCTTGCTCAACCACCCCTTCCCAGGCTTCAAGAAGTCCTGAGCCATAGTGGAAGGGTATTTTAGTTTCCTTTCTGTTGCTGTGAAAGGACACCTTAACCAAAGCAACCTATAAAAGAAAGGATTTAGTTGGAGGTTTGTCTACAGTTGCAGAGGCTTATGGGGAGTTTCATGGTGAGGAGCACGGTAGCAGGCAGACATGGTGCTGGAACAGCAGCTGAGAGTTTACATCTGATCCACAAGCAGGAGACAGATAGACAGACAGACAGACAGACAGACACACACACACCTCATAGCCCACACCACCTAATGTTACGATAAATCTTTCCGCCAAAAGCCGCCAAGCCCCACCGCCATGTGTACCGTCTATGCCAGCCACCCACCTGAGTTAGGTCCCAAATTAATACACAGAGAAACTTTGTATTAGGTACAATGTTGCTTGACTAGTATTCTCATCTGCTAGCTCAGTCTTAATTATCATAAATCTATATATTTTATAAGACTTATCTTATTGGCGTCCCTCCTTGCCGGTAGATCACATTGCGCTGCTGGAGGAAGAGCTGAGGGGAAAAAGGGGACACTTCCTATTTCTCCTTGCTCAAATATGAGTCTCCTTGCTATGTCACTTCCTGCCTGGATCATCACTTATCTACTACAATTCCCAGAATCCTCTTTGACTCCTATTCCTGTCTAACTTGCTGTTTCATTGGCCAAACAGAACTTTATTAAACAATCAATAAGATAAGCATACACAGAAGTACTTCCCCATCAACCTAATCCAAAAAAAACCTCAAAAAAATGGCTTGACCAACTAGGGACCAAACATCCAAAATATGTGAGCCTATGGGGATCATTTTCACTCGAAATAACACAAAGGGTAATGTCCACCTGATGTGCTACAGGACAGCTTAGCACAAGGCCACCTACCTCACCATTCCTGACCCCTTTCCTGTGACAGAGACTCCCTGAGGTCCACACACAGCCTAGCTCAACCACACTGGAAGCAAAGCCATGGAGATTAATAGGAGGGGTCCTAGGCACAGCAGAGAGGAGTAGGGGGGTGGTGAGGCTGCCAATCCACAAGACCATTAGCACTGGAGGGACTGATCAGTACTGGGAAATTAATGGAGGGAGGCACTGCTGGTTCTGCTCAGCTGGGACTAAACAGTCTGTCCTGATGCCTAGGATGAGGAACAGCACAGGAGGGGACCACAGGGAGGCTCTCAGACAAAAGAGGCCATGGGCCTTTGACCAGAGGGTGCCAGGTGCCTAACTTGGCAGTCAGAGACCTAGGAATTAGGGACAGGGCAAGGGGCAGGTCTGGCACTTGTTCTATCCCAGTGATACCACCAGCTAAGTAAGGGCTGTGTTACAGGGGCTCTCCACACCTGGCTCTACAGAATTGAGAATTGAGGTCCAGCCTTCCCACCACCTCTCCCCCAGTTTCCCATTAACATCTGGCATTTTTATGCCTCCTTGGTAATAACTGATGGGCCAGATGCAGCAGCCAGGGATGTCTGGGAAGGCAGAGCCTTGCACCTCTCGTGGAGCATGAGAAAGACCCCAAGACCACAGTGGGCTGGGGGTGCAGGCTGGAGAGGCCAGCATGGAGTGGAGACCAGGTCCCAGTGGTTACACAGACCAAGTCTTTCCTGTTAGCCTTTTCTTCAAGCCACCGGCCCTGGCCTCAGGAACTCCCACTCACCCCCTCTCTACACACCACTCTCCCGCCCCAGCTGCTCTTCTCCTCATCTATCCCTGCCAGGCCAGTGGAGCAGCTCCTGGACAGCCCTCATCAATCAGTCCCTTCTGCCCTTTTTATCACTTTCTTGCACTTTCTATGGGCAGCCAGTGGGGCTGTGGCTCCAGTGCCTTAGCCCTTGCAAGGGTGGAGTTACAGGGTCTGCACCTGAGCAATGGTGCTCTGTGATTTGCACAGATTGGGCCTGGCCATCCGCCCTTCCTGCCCAGCTTTTCTGCCATTGATTGATTATCTGGAGAGCAGTAGCCAGCCCTGCCTCCTGTTGCTTGTTGGTAGCCAGCCCCCTGCTGTAGGGGACACTGTAATCACGCCTCCTAAAGGCTGACTACAGGTGTGCCTAACCACGCCCATCAGGGTGTGGTCAAGGTGATGTCAGGGTGACGCGGTAAAGGTTTAAACGGATACCCAAGGCACATGGTAGCTCTCTTTTGTCTGCTGCTTCTGCTCGCTGTGGTTTCCCTGTCGGTTGGCATTTACTTATTAAAGATATCCTGACCATTACTGGCTGCGTATTAGTTATTCATAGTAATAACTGGTATCAGGAGTGTGGTAAAAGCCCGCGGCCCGTTCTGCACTCACCGCAAGTCCCGCTGGTGAAAGGAAAGGCCGCCCAGCTCCGGGTCCCCGCGCAACCGATTGCACGACTTCTACCCGCTCGTGCACGGAGATCCTACACGCTTGCGCCTTGACCTGCCGCTACCAAAGTTCCAGCGAACACAGTGAGTTCAATTTTCTCGGCTTTCGGCCTCCCCTGCCACCTGTTGCGCTCGGTCCCGCCCCTCCACCCAGCCTAGAGAGTTTGTTTTTAATTAATTTATTTATTTATTTAGTTTCTCCAGACAGGGTTTCTCTGTGTAGCTTTGGAGCCTACCCTGGCACTCGTTCTGGAGACCGGGCTGGCATCGAACTCACAGAGATCCGCCTGCCTCTGCCTCCCGAGTGCTGGGTTTAAAGGCGTGCGCCACCAACGCCTGGCCAGCCGGGAGTTTTAAATTTCCCGCAGGCTTCCCCGCGGTTTTTACTGCTGCAGGCAGGAAATAGCACCGCCTTTTGTAGCTGCGCGCTCTCATCCAGTCCAGAAGCTGCGTGTGCGCGCCAGGTGGTTAGTCTCATTTTGTCCTGCCTCGCCAA